GACATCGGGTTGCATGTGTCTGCGTCGTCTTGACTCGGGCCTCCTGGTGGCCAGAAGACCGGCAAGTATGACCCTCAGCCCCTCATCTGTGAGGCCGCAGTTCTCCAGGATAACCTCTTTGACGGGAACGACAGCCAGATAATCGCCCAGGGTCACCAGGTCGGGCAGCTGCATCCAGTAGCCTGTCAAATCCAGTTTCTGGACCATGCCGATATCGGAGGAGCAGTTGGACGTGCTGCTCAGTTGCTCGGTAATCTTCTTCAGAATGGGCGTTTCCCTCAGCTGGCAACACCGGCGGTATATCCTCACCGGGTTAGTGGTGGGAGATGCCGTTGTCTTTGGTGCTGCGGCCGGGATGCCTTCGCTGGAAGAGTCGCTGTCGTCGACGTGGATTTCCATGGGAATCGTGCCGTTGGCCTCGGCTTGTTTCCTCTTCTTCTCTTTCCTCGCTTTTCTCTCTTCTTCGCTCTTCTTCTTCTTCTCCTTCTTCTTACTGTCCTTGTCCTTGTCGACGAAGACGCTTGCATCTTTTGCGCCGCTCTCGTTCTTTGCGTTGTCGGAGCCCATTCCCTCGGTTTCGGGTTCCTTTGGCACAGACTCCCCGGTCGCGTGGATGACACCGTCGCGCTCTTTCTGTTCTTCAAGACACTTGGGATTCTTGAGCGCCTCGCCCTCTCCCTTTTCCGTCATCCTTTTCGTTTTTGGCTTGTCGAGTGGCTTCTTGGGGAGCGCGTCCGACTCGACGTACTTTGGCATTGGCGCGATTTCGACATCGACGCTGAATGCAACCCTTCGCAGTTTCGCCTGGTGTAGTTCCGGGATCGGACAGCGTTCGCGGTTGCGGTCGACGTTCAGGACCTTTCTCTCTACCAGGCCATGAGTTCCTCTCGTGCCTTGTCCCAAAACCCCGCTGGACGAGGACAGTCGGCGGAAGACCCCAAGAAAGCCGGCTTGGCCCCGGCCGGGAGGCGCGGGTGTATAGGGCTGATCGCCATCGTTTTTGGCGGCGTGGGGAAGCACGGCGTTTTTGGCAGGAGTCACCTTTGGGGGAACGGGATCAGAGTCCTTTGGCGGCGTGCTCTGGGGCTGCTGAATGGCGTGGGAGTTATTAATATTGTTATTGTTATTATTGTTGTTGCTGCCGTTGCTGGGCGAAGAAGAGAACTTTGACGAGATGTTGGTGAACCACGAGTTGCGACGTGACGGGGGAGTGCCGTTGGGGCCCGGTTTCTCGTGGGAGGGACGCCTTCCCAAAAGCGGCCGCGGGATGTGAACGGGGTTTGCTTCTTCCATGTTTGCCTTTCCATTTTCTGTTACGGCATCGGCGTTGCCATTTGCGTTGCTGTTCACGGCGGGCTGGGCGGCGGTCGGGGAGGCGGGCGGCGGTGATTCTCTCGGGGCAGACGTCGAGGAACGTCGTGTAGGGATCGCTTTCGGTGGCCTGTCTGTTATGCGCATTTTGTATTAGTGGGGAGGGGGGGCGCCTGAATACCGTAGATAGACACAACAGGATGGGCGAAAAAGAGGAAGGAAGGAAAGCAGGAGAGAAACGGTGGTTTCTTGGATATATCCACAGGTAAGGAAGAGGCCCAAAGTTGCGGGCTCCCGGTGGCAAGCGCTTATAGAGGTAAACTAGGTTGATTTGCCAGCTGCTTATCTGGGCCGACTTGGCTTGGGGGTGGTGCGGGTGCAGTGCGACTGACAGCCGGGCGACTGGGGAAGGGGAGGGGGGGATGTACTGGGGCAGCCAACTAGCTGGCCTGAGAAATGAGGTCAGATGGGGACGTCTTTTGCGTACCTTTGGGAGAGCCGCCGTGGGTCATCCAGCTAACATCTACTCCATGAACTTGCTCCATAATGGGTGTCGCAGCGATACTGGCGAAGAGTTTCCGTAGAAGGACGGATACCAAACGCTATGGGCCGCGATTGGCCAAGGATTCGGAGAGTCGCCCGGCCGAGTGAGAGGCGCGAGGTAGTAGAGATAGATGTGCGGGGAATCGACAAACGAAGAAGAGCTTGGCGGAGGAGAAGGAGGAGGAGGACGATGAAGAGGAGTGGTGGTGATTGCTGAGCTTCCTGGCGCAAAGGAAGGGAATGGAACTGTTGCACGCCCAGACCCGGCTGAAGGGCGACTTTTGGCTTGATTTCTAAAGAGGACGGCGGGAGGTGGAGGGTACTTTGCTTAGTATGCCGTCGCCCCCAGTATCTCTCTGTGTCTCTCTTTTGTCTTGGGACACCACCTCTGGTTCCGTTCGGAACATTGACTGGACCGCTGACAAGCAGCCGACAGCTTATCCGAGCCGTTGGGTGAGATGAGGTACCTGGGTAGGCTTGGGAAGAAGAGGATGAGAAGGAGGTGGTGGAGGAGGAGGAGGAGGAGGAGGAGGTGGTGGTGGTGGTGGTGGTGAACGGGGTGGGTGGTACAGACCAAGTAGATACGAGGGTAGGAATACCTCTGTCTGTATGCCTGTTTCTCTCTCTCAGCTCAAGGTCCGATCCGGACGGGCGAAGGGGGGAGGAGGAGGAGGAGGGAAGAGCTGGTATTCGTAGCCCAAGTGATAGGTTCAAGCAGGGAACTGAGCACAGCGGCGTCCGTACCTTGCCGCGAGTACGGAGTACTGTGTAAGGAAAGACCGGACGTGGCAGCTCTAGCGGGGCTCATTAACCTTTTTAGAGGGGAGGCATCTCGTCTTTGGTAGGAGATGAGCGACGCCATGGCCCGATTTGGCGACAGACTTGGAGGAGCCGGTCTAGGCTGTGGTGAGTGTAGGAGTCGCTGATACATCATGCCTTGCCATGCCATGCCATGCCATGCCACGCCATGCCGTGGCCATGCTTCCTGTCATCCCTCCCCGGTCTTTCAATATCTCTACCATGCACCTCCCACAGTCTGTCTGCATTTTCCTCCGCTGCTGTCGCTCAATTGCACATAGGACGCCGGTTATAATCGCCTTACTTACACTTTTACGTACCTGCCTAGGTACCCACGTACCTAGGTAGTTCAGATATCCTGGGCCGATTGAAGGGCCCCGTGTCAAATGCCATCAGACGGGCGGGCAACTCACGACACCGCATTAGCCAGTCCGCGGCCTTGTTCCATGCAGCAATAGGAGTGAATAGGTGGTGGCCGCTGCATCGGCTTCGGTAACACCGGGCGTCTTTCCTCTCCATCGACCCCGTCTCGTCCTCCTCCGAGTCTCGCTTGCTCCAAGCTTCCACGCCAACCGCCGCCGCACCTTGGGACGAGTCGCGATGCGCTGAGATGAGCAATGTGAAGACTTGCCCGAGCAGGTCTCCCCGTCAACGCGTTGCGCATGTCCGTACCGCCGCCTCACCGCACGCACGCGGCACGCAGCAGAATCTGACACTCGCCCGGTGCAGAGACCCAAAGCGCATTGCGGTAGCAGTGTACAATGACTGGATGTACCCATGTACAAGTAGGGGACTTCCGCTGCCCTACCGTCCTACCGCCTTACCGTCAGCAGCTGGCCGGCCAGTATCCAGGATGATTGCTTCAACCCTTCTCTGGTTGGTTGGCACGACCGTGTATCTCCACTCGTTTGCGGCGATCATCAACGTCAGGAAAGCAAAAGAAGCGTGACCGGCCAGGCACGAGATGAGAGAGAGAGAGAGAGAGAGAGAGAGAGAGACCGTCTGCTCGCTCTCATGCTTCCTCGTCCACACGCTCATGTCCTGGTGATTCTCAACTGTCGAAAGCAGAGAACTTGCTCAGCACCGACCTCGTTCGAATCGTCCGCGCCAGTTCCAGTTCTGCATTCTGCATTCTGCAACATTACACTAGGTCCGCACACTACTGCATGGTCTCAGGTAGCCCGCCGAGCTGCTCTTATTAATCCCGCTCTCTACAGCAGCAAACTCACCTCCCTACTACTAGTGCCTGCCAAGTCAAGTCACCCGCAGCTAGCCTGGGACAGGCGCGTCCGGTACGAAGCACGGGCGAGAATACAGAGTTCACGCTTACCTAGGTACCGCCGTCGTGGGAACTTGCCGATGTCCGATTCAAGGGTCCAAATGCTCTCAACGATTGCATTAACTACTTACCTAGGGAAATTGTCCCGGTAACATAAAAGCCAGACTTATACATACCATACGCAACGCCTGATATTGCCTTGAGGGGGTGGCCTGGTTAACCAACTACCTCTCCCCACTGAGCGACGTGAAATCACGAGGACCTCATTCCATAGAAGGCGGAGCTCTCTTTGGGGGTCTCCCCTGCTCGATATTCAGCGGTGACAAACACACATCGCTGCGAAGTCAGTCTGAAGAGAACGGTGGAGTGGAACTCTTGGTTTATTCTATCTGGGGGGGGTGTTCCCCCCCTCTGTGCTCGCCTTGCAGCAATGCCCCTCAGCGCGCCATCTCCTCTCGTTCTCCTGCTGAGCGAGATGATGTGCTTTCGTTCAGGGCGAGGTGGGAAAATCGCCATCGGGGGACCCTCATTCCCCGCTGCTGTACCCTCCGTCCATCCCATAATTCCCGCGCGCGCGACCTGGTGCAATGTCCGAGACCGCCCTCCCTCCCCTTAGTAGATTCCACCTCCGAATTGAGGTAGGAAGTCAGCGTCCGTCCTCCCTCTCTGTTTTGCCCACGTCGCCATCGAGGGTTGTTCGGACGTGATGCTGGACCTCTCTGCCGTGCAGTGGCAGCGGTACCGGGCAGGGGGAATGGTACAAGCAAGACTGCCGCACTTCTCCACAAAGAATAATAACAAAAGCGGGGGGAGATAAAATAAAAGGCAAAAAAACCCTCTTCCACCTCCCCGCTCGGAACTGCCCATTTCGACATCATCGTCAGCTGCGTTGGGCTACCTGTCCCCCCATTCCGCGACCCAGACGGGCCCCATCTACTTGGTCTCGTCGCTTGCCGCACTTGTCCAGTGCCGGGAGTGAGAGTCTGGTGCGGTTATTGCTCCTCCACCCCCATGCGTGGGTCTCGTGCCCTCGCTTTTTTTTTTTTTTTTTTTCGCCTCAACCATCACAGTTTCCTGCGGGTTGGGTGCACGAAGTACACGCCCCACGCCAAGGGATGTCACGACGAGCACGCAATTTATCTTTTTGTCATCTTTTTTTAGTTTTTTTGATTAGTTTTTTAGCTTTCCAGCCGCTAGTTCCCAGCAGGAGGGACAAGGCGCGCGGTAACGGCAAACGCACGACTAATGGCGCGCCAGCCACCACTAAACCCAAAACCTGGCCACTGTGGCTTCCCTTGTCAGCAGTAACAAAATGTACATCATGTTGTGTGTGTGTGCGGGTTTGTGTGTTCAACAACTTTTGACGTCTGGCATTTGGGATATCTCATTGAATTGTTTAAAAGAGGTTCCTTTCCCGTGACCATCATAAAATCCCATTTACCGGATCTTTTGCTTTTTTGCCTGATAACTCCCCCGACTGCGAAAAAGTCGGTGCCAAAACGTCAAATGCCTGTCCCAAGTCATACTGTGCCAGAAACCGCCGTGCCTTCCCTTCCGAGTCAGGCATCATAAACCCGCTTCTCTACATACAGGAAACAAAGTTTACTCGGCGCGGAGCTCGGCAATGCGCTCCTTGACGCGCTGCTCCTTCTGCTCCTTGGTGAGGCGCTGGGTCTTGTACTTCTTGGACTCGGCCTTCCACTCCTCCTTGGTCTTGGTGTTGGCACGCTCGGGCTTCTTCCAGGGGTCCTCGCGGATGGCGGCGTGGGCCTCGGAGTAGAGCTCCTCGAGGCCGTCGGCCTCGACGTCGTCGTCGATGTACTGCTGGAACTGGGACTTGTAGCGCTCCTCGTCGTCGTCGGCGAGGGTCTCCATGTACTCAGCGACGTGCTGGCCGAAGATGTAGTTCTTCAGGGTCTCGGCGTCGAGCTCCTTGCTCTCCATGTCGTAGCCGGGGAAACGCTTCTCGGAGTGGGGAACGAGGATGCCACCGTCAGAGGCACCCTTCATGGCGCCGAAGACACGGGCACCGGTGGAGGTGCGGTGCAGACCGACATCGAGGTTGGCCTTGAAGGGGCGGCGCTCGCCGTCGTCGGTCTCGGCGGCCTCGGTGAGGGTGTACTCACCGTCGGCCTCCTCGACACCAGTGAAGGTCTTGTCGAGGCCGAGCTTGGAGAGGGTGCGGCGGGCGATCAGGAGACCGGTGGCGTAGGCGGCAGCCCAGTTGGTCAGGCCGTGGGTGATGCCGTAGGCGGGCAGCTCGTGGGAGTAGGCAGCGCAGAAGACCTTGTCACCGGTGATCTCGGAGGTGACAATTTGCATGATGATGTCCCGGTTGGTGAAGCGGACCACAAGACGGTACTTGGGGGCACCGTACTTGTTCTTGGCCTGGGTGATCAGGCGCTTGCGGGCATAGTAGTCAGTCTTGCCCTGACGTCTGCGCTTGTACTTGGTCTGGAAGCGGCTGCAATGCCGTTAGCAAAGACGGTCCCGGTTGAGTGACTTGAGGCCATCGGGGCAGTGTGCGTGGGAGACTAACCTGTAGTACGCGCTGTTCTTCACCAACTTGTGGAACGCCTGTCACGAATGGAAATCCCGAGTCAGCAATTTGCGCTTCAGATTTGGCCCATATGTCCGAAGCATCTTGCATTGACTCCAACGCCCAAGAGACATTTCTGCCTGCTACTGGGGGCCAATTGCCATTGTTGGCAGTGGAGGTGGTCGTTTTTGGGGGGGATTCGCAATTGTCGCGTTCGGCCATTGAGGCTGTTGCGACAGTTGACGGTGATCATTCAACTTACCATCTTGATGGTATTGGCTGGCGGGCGGTTGGCTCAGCAAATTTGTCGGTGGTAGTCGAAGGGGTTGTCGAAGAGGAAAAATGCAATATCCAACTACGACTCGCGATAATATTCCTGTGGGTTAACATAGAGCCCTAGAAAGTGGGGACCCGCCTATCTCCCAGGCGGGAACTGTCACTCCAAGCAGGTCGGTGACGAGTCACGTGGGTCCCTGTAGTTCGGCCGGGGACGAGCTCGAGCTGACTCATCAAGGACGCTAAGCCCGGTTCCACCGGATTTGGGCCGAGGTCCACGGTCTAATTCTCAGAGGTGGGGGCGGCCGTTCCTTCCCCAGGTTTCGGCTCCCCGACCACCGCAGCTTCTCCGCCCGCGACGGTGACGCGCTTGAGTCGTGCGATTTCCTACAAGTACGCGATGTAGATCTCTTAAATCAGATGCAGTCATTGGAAGAATCTGATAATTTCTTCGTCGATTATGTTCTGGAGGCTGTAGACGACATGACCCACTCAAAGCAGCCCAAGGTGCTTTTATTCGACATTGGCGGAGTGTGTGTAAGTGGTTCCCTCTAGAGCTTCTTTCTTCTGCCCTTCTCATGGTTACTTCATGATCCCGGCCACAAGCAACAAAACCTATACCAAGACGAGACGCCGGCCCCGTTCTGACTTTCCAAGGTCGTCTCGCCCTTCCAATCCATCTTAGACTACGAGCTAAGCCTCGGCATCCCGCCAGGATGGGTCAACTACTCCCTCTCCAAGACCAGCCCCACGGGGTTCTGGCACCGCCTTGAGACGGGCTCTATCCCCATGGACAAGGCCTTCTTCGCGGGCTTCAATGCGGACCTCCACGACCAAGGGCGGTGGGAGGCCTTCTACGCCGCCCAGCGGGCCAAGAACCCTGCCCTCCCCGAGCAGGTCCCGCCCCTCCCCGCCATCGATGGGGAGTACCTCTTCAACACCATGATGGCGAACTCGATCCCCCCTGACCCATGGATGTTCCCCGCGCTCAAGAAGCTCAAGGAGAGCGGCCGGTACATCCTCGCGGCGCTGAGCAACACCGTCATCTTCCCCGAGGGCCACAGGCTGTGGAAGAAGGATTTCATGAACGACCCCGTGCGCAGCCTGTTCGACGTCTTCATATCGTCGGCGCACGTCGGGCTTCGGAAACCGGACCCGAGGATGTACGAGCTCGCCCTTCGGATGCTCAACGAGTACGCCGCCAAACACGCAAGCTCCGAAAGGGGCCAGGCGCTGGGGTGGGCCGACGGAATCAAGGCGAGCGACATTGTGTTCCTCGATGACATTGGCGAGAACCTCAAGGAGGCGAGGAGGCAGGGCTTCGGGACGATCAAGGTCCACCTGGGGAGGGCGTACGAGGCTGTCGAGGAGCTGGAGAAGGTCACGGGGCTGCAGTTGGAGGGCGGCCATCCCAAGATCCCGGTGAGGCCCAACTTGAAGGGCAGCGGCAAGGCAAAGCTTTAGACAATGACGCGCGGACGGTGTTTTCCTGCCACACAGGGGCTATCTACAACCTTTGAGCTACATAGACATACACGGCGTCCACATTCACAATCTTGCCATCGACCGCGTCCTTCTCCCACTCCTCGCGGAACAGTGCCCTCGTCTTCTGCTTCAGCTCGTTCGTCGCGAGCTTGACGGTCAGCGAGGTTCCCGTGATCCAGTCAAACTGCTCGTCGACCTGGTCCATGCTGTACGTCGTGTCGCCTTGGCCCGACAGCTTGTCCACCAGCTCGATCCTCTCCACGGCGTAGCCCGCTCCCTCCAGGATCCTCGAGAACGAGTTCTTGTCCACGATCCAGGACCGGTTGCTCGGGAACCGCGTGCCCAGCCGCCTCACCGCGCGCTCCAGCAGAAGCCCAATCTTGAGGTTATCCTCGTGGGTGACGTCGACGACCAGTCTGCCGCCCGGCTTCAGGTACCCGCGCCACGACGCGACGACCGCGTCAGGGTGGTCAAAGAGGACGAACGCGCTGCAGCAGAGGATCGCGTCAAAGGTCTGCCCGTCCAGCTCCTGCAGCGTCTCCAGGTTCGTCACGTCGTGGTTGAGCAGGCGCACGCCCGCGCCGGGCCCGCGGCGCCCCAGCTTGTCCCTCGCCTTGGCGAGCATCGCCTCGGTGACGTCAACGCCGACGACCTCGCCCCCGTCGCCCGCCCGCTCGGCGGCGATGAAGACCTCCAGCCCGGTGCCGCAGGCCAGGACGAGGACGCGCTCGCCGGGCCGGATGTCGGCGACGGCCATGAAGCGCTCAGAGTAGCCTGGGTGGAACGAGTCCTCGTAGCGGTCGGCCCGCGCGGTGTACATGCGCTGGGAGGACGCGGCTTGCGTCTCGTGGTCGAGATCCATACTGTGTAGTTGTTTGGTGGTGACTGGCAATAGAACTTACGCTGGGTGCAATTCGTCTTGCGGTTTTGTAAGGTCGTCGAGATTTCGGTGTAACGCTGGCGGCCAACCTTGGAACTATATATCCGACAAAGGTCTGATCTCACTCTGACTCACCCAGCAGCACGTAATCCGACCATCTGCCGCTACCACATGCGCCTTTATTTTCATTCGATGAACAAATGCCGGCTGTTCCGTCCATTTGGTGCCTCTAGGCTCACGATGATAGTTTGGGATAAGCCGGATTTCAATCATCGTCATAATCGTACGTACAGTATCTATCGCGCAGTATGTTATCCAAAAGAAAGTGGCAAAACAGCATGGTATCGTAAAACCCATTAACACCTCAACTCCCGAACCACCCTCCGGCAACCAATCCATCTTGACCGGCGTCAATCTCAAGCGACCCCGCCATTGCCCACCAGTTTCGACCCAGATTTCTTCGTCTTGCCCTTGTCCAGGACGAACTTATACCAACACTCGTCGTCGTCGAGGTCCAGCGCATCCAGCCTCGCCGCCCAGTACGCCGTGAGCCGCCCCTCCTCGTCGAACGGCCCGAGGCCTGCCCACGCAGCCCACATCTCCACCACGGCCTGCGCCTTCTCGGCGTCGACCTCGAAGAACTCCTTGTGGTTCGTGGTCTTCCCGTTTGGCTCGCGGCAGCCGGCACACCCCATGTCCCACCGCCGCTCGTTGGCGAGGTGCAGGTGGACGACCTCCTCCATCTTGATGTAGTACGGAGCCTCGCGGGCGAAGATGAGGTTGGGGGTGTAGTGGCACTTGGACTGCCACTGCCGCATGCGCCGTTTGTAGTTGTTGGTGTATCCGATCTTGATCATCCGGTCGGTATCGGTTCCCAAGGCTGTTGTATGGCCTTTGGGGAGCTTGTAACCATAGATGTAGCCCGTGCCGCGCGGCTTCTGCTCTTCCTGCGTAGAGGGGGCGAGGAGCTTGTCGACAATAGTGATGTTGATTTTTCTGGTGGATAAGGGCTGTTGGTATGGAGTGAAGGTGTGGACGGTCGGCTTTTTGAGAGGGGTTGGGCAGATGGCTGACTTGATGGGCAGGGGGTTGAAGGGGATGATTTCGAGTCTGGATTTGTATTCGTCGTCTTCCTCCTTGACGGTCTCCTGCTTTACCACCAAACTGACAGGCCGCTTTTCCACTAAGGGCTTCGAATCGACACCATCAGCAACTGACAGCCGGCCGGCATTCAGCGATTTGGCAATATTGCTCTCTGTTGCCTTCACTGAGACTGCGGCCGTCCTCGATCTCCGTCCCTCGGGCTCCGCTTCCGCTTCCCCCTTTCCGCCGTCTTGCTTCCCGTTCCCGTTCAGCCCAAGGAACTCCCTTATCCGCCTCTTCCACTCGGCCGTCTTGTCTGTGGTCTGCTCCTGGTGCCATCTCTTGCACAGCACCAGGGAGGCGAGGCGCTCAAGGTGCCGCGCGGCAGAGGACAGGCTCCCGCTGGCGAGGATGTCAAGGACCACCGACGAGATCTTCTCGCGCGAGTCCTTGCTGATGGAGTTCTTGCAGGTGGGCTTCGTCTTCGAGCGGCCCTGGCAGCTCGTGCAGGAGCCGAGGGGGGCCGAGAGGCAGGCCTGGAGGTCGGCGGTGGTTTGGGGCCACTTGGGCTGGATCAAGACAGCCATATTCGACGTTGAGTAACAGATCTGACGATTTTTCTGGTGTAAGTGAGAATGATGTGCCGCGGGACCGTCGTATCGCGGTCCGCGCATTCCCTACATATACTGCGGAACGAGGCATCACGGAGGCCTCGACGAGGCATATAGTTTCGGACTGGACTGGCAGACCACCCTCCATCGCGAAGAAGGCTGTGGCATTCATACAGCCACCTGACCAGGTGCAAAGGAGACAGGGGGCACGCTTCACATATACGGCCAAGCAAATCGTTGTTGGTCTGAATTTGGGCCAACTGAACCAACCAACTGCACCGCACGCATGCTGCGCTTGCGTCTGCTCGCACTGGTTCTGTAGAACCCTCTTCGAAAGATTACCCATCCAAATCCATTATAGGAGCTTCTTCATCTTTGATAGTGCGTCTATCATCCAGCCCGTCGCTGCCGCCGAAAGGTGACTGCGGTACGATGTCTGGTCTTTTTGGACGATGGCACCAACAGCTCCGGATCCAACAGCCCCCCCCCCCCCCCCCCCCCATGCATGCATGCTCTTGCAGGAGAGAAACCGGCTGTGACCCGCACACAGCCGAGTCTGCCTACAATCGTTGGCAGGCGCAGCCACCCAAAGCGGCATTCTGCCCCGACATCGAAACACCTTCGGGGCCGCTCCCCCTCTCGCCCTCGGGGTTTGAAGGATTGCGCAGGGTATATGGCCAAAATGAGACCAAGAGGCGCCCCGACTCTGGATGTGCCTTTGCCTTTGCCTTTGCCTTTGGCCCATGGCCGATCGACATGAGCAGAATGCCACGGGGAATACTCCCGCGCCGGGTATGGCGATATGCTGCTCAAGACTACCGCTGGAGACGAGCTCAAACGTTTCAGCAAGCTGGGCAGGTAATGTAAGCTCCTTCAAGAGGAGGGGGAAAGCCGTCCGTATCGATGTCCTGCTCTTTGGATCACGCAATCGTCGGCGAATGCGCCCACGCATCGTATCCTACCCTAACCTGTCCTCGGCGGCTACGAGGGCAAATCAGAGGTGGCGCGGATGTGCAAGGCCCGAATCGGCGCACCATCGCATAACGTCCACAGCGGCGTCTCCTCTGGCAAG